TTAACATTCAGTCAAAGGATTAAGGGGGGGGGGGGGGGGTGTAAAATCACAATATGTAGAAGAAATAGAGACCACAAATAAATGTGGAATACATAATCAGCTATAAGTCATATTTACTCTATTTGTATAATCAATAATATAGTGTTAAAAGTACACTGAACTGTACCTCTCCTTTCTTTATAAATTCAGTTTCAAACTATTTAAATTCAGTTGAAAGAATTTTTAAAACAGGAACCATTAAAAATAATACTATGTTGACCACAACAGTCTTGAGAGGATGCAGTGAGATCAGACAGCAGCTAGACAACCAGGTTTTTGAAAAAAGAAAAGCAGCACACAAACCAGAGAGAGTTACTTATCTCTGAAGGCACCCTTAAACCATAACTCAGATACACTAGGTCCTTATTATAACCAATACAAAAGCCCAGAAATATTCTTCAAGAGTTGATCAAAGTAACAAATAAGACTTATTGCTTTCAGGAGACGAGGTGGAAGAGAGCCTGATAAGCTCAGAGGAGGACATAACATCTTACGAAGAGCCTGAGCTGACAGACCACCGATAATGAATAAGAAACAGTGCATAAGCTAGCGTGCTTAATGTTTTTCATCACAACATGTAGAAGAGGAAATAAAAGTATTTTCATTTACGCATCTCCTCTCTAACTTTGTCACAAAACCATTCAATCTGACCTGGCTCTCCAATGTAGCCATTCTTCTCCATCCTGCTCACTCCCAATGAAAATCACAAAATCTTCAGCTCACACTTTTGCCACTGTCTCAGAACCACTTATCACAGCAGGTCTCACTACTGTCTTTCAACCTTTCCTTTCAGTTTTGCTTCTATCCAACTGTCACAAATCACCCCTGACACTCGTCTCCTCATCATTTACCTTCATTGCATCCATCTTTGAATCCTCATACACTGATGGATGTTTCAGTAGCAATTTGGTCTCGCACACGGACACTTGCACACTTCATCAATCAAAATGCTGACCGCTGGATGAGCAGTTTATTCCCCGAGACACTGTTGCGCTCCACAGTTTATCAAAAGGTTTTTTGGGGTTTTTTTGTTTTTGTTTTGTTTTTTTTATTAAAGTGTGTAGGCACAAAAAGTTCAGTGTGTCTATTTCATATGGATGATATTAACACTGAGTCTGAATTAGCACTACTGTCTGTGGAAAAGGTGAGGCCTGTATGATGAGAACAGCCTAATCCAACAGTAAAAGTAGGTTGCACCAGATCTGCCGTGGGGGTGTTGTTGCAGGTAAGCAGACATCTTAAAAGAATTAAAGTTTAACCTGTTAAAACAAAGTATATACCCAGGGCGGAGTTTTGTCTGTTACTGTATACTGGGTTTAACATGTAGCTTTACAACATATGAGAACAAGGTTACGGTGTTTGATGGGTTTATATTTTATTATTGTCATTTGTATTGGGAAATATTTAACCATATAT